TGTGTAAGGGACAGACCTCTTGAGATAAAGTCCAAAAAATGGGTGTTTTATTGATGAGAGTTACAACTGAAAATAAACAGAATGCCTTTAAGGGGCGCAAGCACACGAGTACTGAAAAAATGATAATTAAAATTAATCTAAAAAATTGAAATTACATATTCTCTGTTTGAAAGTGTTTGATTCGGGCGTCCTTTCTCTATATATATTTTTCTTTTTATATTCCCATGATAATTTTTTTGTGACAAACCGCTTAGAAACTGTTACCCATTTTCTTCATAGTAGCTAATTTGCAGTGGAATTGCCATCTCTAACTGCTGTCATTACTCTTTGTTGTTCAACTGCCTTCAAATTGACTCCTTAAATCGTGGAATGTGATAATCGGCTCGATAACTACTTCAGTAACTGCTATTCTGGATGACCATAATATCTCATGTATTAAGATTCTAGGCGACTCGAAGGTTCGAGCGAAAATGAGGTTGTCGCTCTTAGCGACAGTGAGGCACTCCATTCGTCCAAACTCTGGGCGTCTGCAGGTTTGGGTGATGATGTTATTGTGTCCGTGGGCTTCCTCTACATTCACCAATAACCTTATTTGGGCATTTATCCTGGTTTCTCCAATTGGACTTCACTCTTTGGACTATTCAATTTGGATTATATTTTTGGTGTGTCAACAAAACCATAATGCAATAAATCTCTGATACGGTCATTACATGTAATGTAACTTTACTACAAAGCCACATCATATAAATGTTAAACAAGGGACGAAAGATTTTGTTTTTTCTTCAGTCATTTCTAACCTCTAGTGGATTTCTTAGTAAAATTCAAACCCAAATGAAGTTCTAATTATCTATCGAAGAAAAAAGAACGAACGGATCTTGTAGAATTCCCAAGAAATTCTTCGATTTCTTCCAAAAGTTGATGAGCTGAAGCGTTCCGTGAATAGCCAAGACATTGAAAAATATCCACAAGGCATTTCGTAAATTGATTTGATGCTATCTCTATTCATTCTGTTTGAAGAAAGGTGAAAAACATTTGCTTTTGATTGATAGCATGAAATTTGTATGGAAAGAAAATAAACTCTAGACAATTCAATTTTCAAAACTTATTTATATGAAAATTATTAATTAAATGTGTTTGATTTATTTGATTTCAACCTAGAAAATATTATACTTGTCCATTTTTATTGGTGTATAGATGAAAGAAAATGAATAGATGAGAGAGACAATGAATTACCTGAAAAATAAAAATCAATCCTCCCTAAAGAAACGATTTTTTTTTTTTTTT